AGTTACGTTTCTTGAAACCACCGCGAGCCACCCAAACCCAGAAGTCGCGAGAACCTGGGACAACGACTGCACAACGCTGCGAAGGCACAGGCGGCCCAAGCACTCCCTGCAGCACTAACTAAAATCAACACATGGACGCGAAGTGCGATGATCCGGTCACCGATTACGATGAAATTTTGCAGGATCGCTTAACAAATTTGTAGATCGGAGTTCCTGAATTGTCTATGTTGACAAAAAAATCAGGAAGGTCCTTTTAAATTTCCGTTAGGTATGAACTGAATTGCATAAAATTCTAAATGTGCATTAGTCGTATAATACGCAATGCCATACCCAGGAGCTCGTTTGCTATATTTGTTTACACATTTACTATAATTTGTGCGCTTGAAATCTTAATTTTTTTGTAACTCGCTTAGGATTGCGAGCAATCAGAGCAAACACTACTATACGCTTGTTGCATTTTGATCATTGATTAGCCAGATCTCAAACATAAAACCTGCTCAGTTTTAGTGATCATTTTGGGTCAGAGAGACTCAAAATTTTGATCTCAACCCCCAATTGACAGACGAAACGGTTAGATAAAGAAAATTGGCTCTGTTGTAACCCTTGGTTATTACTTTGCGCCATTATTTCATGTGTATGTCTTAAAAAAATGGACTGCGATGTGCAGATTCAAATTTCTTATTAATGGATTTTTTTGACATTTTGAAAGGATGTGCATACCAACAAACTCACAAAAAATCGTACACTAAATAACGCAGGCCGCCTATAAAAGTGAATTGAAAGCACATATCAAACCAGTATATTAAGAGACAAGTGCTTAATGAAGCCTTTAAAGCACGCAGAATGAGTTGTAAGTGCTTTAAGGACCAATTATACACGTGTTTCTTATACAATATAATGTAAAAATAAGGGATATAAAATAAAATCATATTGATATTATACTCGAATACAATTAAGTGGGCTGTTTATTCATAATTCCATGACCCATGCTGATCATGATGTCACATGACATTTGATTATAGAAAGCACCGTCTTTATAAATAAAATTACTTCGGTTGAAAAAGATAATGCATCGTCCATTCAATGGCTTGTTGCAAAAGCAGGAGAAAAGTTGGTATGGAACAGATTTGACAGCATACCCTAAATTAATTACACGCTGATGCGAAAGCTTCAAGCCTTCAACTAAGGAAGAAGGAAAAAGATTTTTTATTTCAGTCTCAGATGACAATTTCATAACTTAGCAACCTTTAAAGCACTTGTATTTAAAAGGCTCGATTTCGCACGCAACAAAAATGCTATAAGGCAACAGCGTTCCGCGAAGAAAAGATTTCCGTGGGAAGTTCGAACCCTTTGAACTTTTAGAGGCTCTTGTAAAGGATAACGATCAAAGTACTTTGTACTACAAAACTATTTATTCGGGCACAAATTTTCACACAAAATCGCACATTTCAGTAGGGTTTTTTTTTTGCAAAAAATGTATGGTACCTTTCATCTAGCTCTGTTTGCTAAACGTCAACGTGCTATTTAAGCTCGACGCAACTACGCAGCATTTTAAAGTCGAAAGACAAAAAGCATTATTCATTAAAACAGACTTTTCAGATATTTATGTCAATAAAGAATGCAGCGAGCGTGCAAAAATCTCACGAAATTGAATTATTCAGCTTGTCAGCGGCAGAAAGATGCCACAATTCCGATTTGCGATCATGAGAGTACACGTATACAAACAAATCAATTACCTCCGTTCATTAACACGCGCCCAAGCTTCTGTATTCGCGTGTAACGCCATTTTGGCGTTAACTCACGCGTTAGAATCGCGAAAATCAAATTTAAAGGAATAGTTTTAACTTATACAAGTAACACAATTATAATTGCTGTTAATGCTCTAATTAAATTAAAAAGGGTCGGCTTTTCACACAGTGCGGAGTATAATTGTACTGAGGTCTGTGTTACACTTTTAAAAGTACACTAAGAAGTGATGTAATTAGTTTAATTTTCTAAACGGTTACAACTACTTTCGAAAATAATGAACATTTTCATTCACATATTGTACTTATATAAACGCAATCGGCAACGTTTACATATTTAAGTATAAGTAATATAAAAAATGTGCGGTAGTTGAGCAAGATTTCGCTTTGCCCTGTTAACTTCCGTAATTATGTACCTACGTGTTAACTGTATACATCAAGAAAGAAGCAATAATTAAAACTACAGTAGGTACATATGCATTGTTAGATTTAGATCCTTCGAAGTTGTTTGCGGATTACACGTTAGGGGCAGTTGTATGGCTTGAATGAGACTTTTTCACTTTACCTACTAGTGGTGAAATTAGTAAACGCATTATCCTCGGCATTATCGGTCTTTGTTGGTAGGTACACTCACGTCTCAGTGGCGTAACTTCATGTAAGAGGACCGTTTTCAAAAATATTTGGAGGCCCTTACGCATAGTAATTTAACCGCTTAGATTTCTAATGACAACCATCTCGACTCTGACCTTTTAAAAAACTCGATGGTCAGGGCTAGCTGCAGAAATGGCTTGTGAAGGCTTCAGGAGTTGATCAATTTTAGCAAATTTATTTCGCTGTTCAGCGTTTTTTTTTTGCTTTTCTCTTTGAGGTTCCACGTTGGTATTTTCGTCCACGCTGAGATGTCTGATTTCTAAATTTTAAATACCGTTCGCATATATACAGAGACACCGCTGGAGATACATTAACCTTTAAATACAATGCTGTCATTCTACATATATGTGTTAATTCTTGCATCAGCAATTTTTAAACAATGATAGTTTGTTTATGTCTCTTGATTTAGCTTTGCTGATATTGCATTTTGAAGTTCATACAGCTCCATTGCAAAATTTAGCGCCACTTTGCTTTCTGTGTTCAGTCAGAGACGAGTTTATTTTGTTCGAACTTTGTCTAGTTTTGTGCAATGTTTATGCCATAAAAAAGGTAATGTACTTAATTTTAATTGTAATTCTTCGTTTTATTGAGAATTGTATTGCCTTCAGCTACTTGTAACTGGGGATAGGTTAACACTTGAATTTCTTTGATATTTGCTTGTTTCGTTAAATGTTATCCTTATTTTGATTTGTTTAAGATTGACCAGTTGTTAATGTTCCTTCGTTTAGTGTGTTTGCCGACTTCAGTTCTGTGTGTATGAATCTGTCTTTAATTGTTTCGTTCGTGCAGTGGTAAATGCTGGAGTGTTAAAATGTCGATAATCAGCTCGAAATACAACACTTCATTCTAAGGGTACCGTATCCAGGACCTTCACGTACTTTCTGGACTGGAGGTTCCGCTACTTAACAAAGTATTTCATGTACTTTATGTAAGAGAATTGGGAATATTATTTTTCACAAATGAGAAAGGAGGGGAGTTGCTTTTAAATCTATTTGAGCTGGCTACTTTTGAGTGCATCAAATGTTGTATTAGATTGAAGTTAGATTTAAATTCTTCAAATTCAAGAGTATTTCCTCGGATTGTTATGTTTTCTATATTGTAGATATTGCTCCAGATTTTTCACCTATATTTACCCTCTGTGAACGATGATTCGGAATTTTTTTCGGCTCGATTTTCGTCCGTTGAGTTCTAGGAGTCACGACCCTTTCTGCATTTCGATTCATTTTCGACTTTTGAATAAATTATTCAATAAACTTTCTTTTGCTATTCAAATTCACTAAAGCCTAATTTATATTTGGCAAGTTTACTAGCGGATAGGAGTTTCGAACGGGATATTGAAAAAATGTCAATTTAGTGAACTCCGCCACCGTTTGTTGTAAAGCTATCCGACACAAAGGACCAAAATTAGTTTCACATCTAATGCATTTATTTGACTTTAATAACAAACATAACAAATTACTTGAAAAATGTATAGCATTCATGCATTTGATGTCCATTGCGAGGAAGATAGGGAACGACGACATACTTTATTTTATAACGTGTATCCCTCCAACCGCTGAAGCTTAAGTGATAGTTGACGTTGAAATTCCATAAAATGCAATAATTTACTAATTAAACTAGCGACACTTGAGTGAAGAATAAGCTACTAATTTATCAATTTCTATTTTCCTTAATAGAGAAGTGGTTACTTTATATTTATAAATATAATAAATGGAGTACATTTTCATGTAAAATAATTGTGTTTATGTGTCAATTAAGTTGGGGATAGAAACAGAAGAGGCGTATAAATTAAGTTATAATTTTATGAAACTTCATTGTCCTGCATCTCAAAAATGTGCTACACCAGTTACAGGATCAATATATCATAATAATATCAGTGAAAAATAACAACTGGTAATCGGAATTAAAATTTCCTCAATAATCGTGCTGTCATGTACAGGGTGTCACAGGTCATATCTATGAAATCGTTCATTGCACAGCATGGGAAAAAAGATTTTATGAAGAAGAAGAGGGAAGTAAGTAATTTTGTTATACAACTGTACAAAATACCGAACATTCTTGGTTCTTCGACGATATTTCTCCTTTACTCGTGATAATTTAATTTTGGTTGACTGTTCTTGTTTTAGTTCTAGTCACAAAACCACTCTTTAAATTCTGAGAAATATCGTGATCAATACACTGCAAGGAAGAGACAGAAAGTCTCCTCTCACACTTCCGCTAGTATAGTCTGTGATTTTTACGAAAATCACGATCGCGCGCATTTATATCAGAACGTAGGTCAAACTGAAAAAAATGTGTAGAAGATAAATTGTAGAGAACCAAATTTCCCATATAAAGCTCCGACGACATTAGTCTATCGTCAACAGTATAAGAAACATTATATATTTCTGTTTCCAATGTGATTTGAAATAAACGCACGCGATTGTGATTTATGTGAGAAAACTCTTAAGCACTGGAAGGAAGTGAGCTCTTGCATTTCAGCATAAACACGTATGATCGTTTTAAGTAATTTTAATGAACTACCAAATATTCCTCGCAACGTAGAAATACAGCAGTTTTAACATTACACACTTTCCTATATACATTCGTTTCTTTTGATTACAGGGCAAAGCACGGATCTCTTAGAAGACTGCCAAAAACTCCTAGAAAGGTTTAAATATCCATGGGAAATGATGCCATTAATGTACGCAATCCTAAAGGACGCCAGAGCGGATTTGGAGGAGGCTTCGAGGCGTATAGACGAAGGTGAGCAAATTTTTTCATACTTATTTGGATATTACTCCGATAAATTCGGAAATTTTAATGTGTAATCTATATACAGGAAAACGGGTCGTAAACGAATACTCGAGAATGCACAACCTGAACATGTACGACGGTGTTGAACTGCGAAATTCTACACGTCAGTATGGATGATTAAAAATTTAACTATAAAGTAACATTGCTCATTTTGTCAAAGGTTTTTTCTTTTTTTTATCACTGAACTTAAAATTTCATTTTTTGCTTTAAATTTAGAGATTTTTCTTTTTAATTAATTAATTCATGTTATTTATTTTCGCCATCAGATAACAAGAACCAAGAAAGAAGATACTTCACCGATTCAAATTTCAAGTCTGTCAATCTTCAGTTTAAATGCAATGTGTTGTTTTAAAGACAGTTTTCCAAATATCCAACTATTTATTTGTTTTAACAATTACTCAAGAATTAATTTATGCACATTAGAGTTATCGGTTTAAAACTATACAATATTATCGAATGTGAATCAAAGGACTTTATCCACAAATTACACTGCTATAAATTACCAAATTATATCAAAAGAAGAGATTGCACCATGTATTTTTGCTAAGATCAGGTAAGTTATAGCTATAATGAATTGACCACCCAAGTGTCTTCAATTCTATAAATGCAAAGGCAATTAAACGGTAATTTATGACTATATTAATTGAAATACTGCATACATTTGTTTAATAACGATCTTTGTTGTTATGATAAGGAGGTTCTATAATAATTAATCTTTGTCTTCTTTTCAATAGCTTACTATGTCTTCCTTTTTTCTTTATTTATATGACAACTTTACTGTAGCAATACAATAATAGTGGTCATTATGGAAGGTAAAAAATAATATTAATTGAGCGTCTGCTTAAAGATAACCTTTCCACTCGTGACACTAAACTCACAAAGCTCCGCGGTTTTTATTGTACCGATTTTTGTTCTTATTTTAATCTATTGATGATCCATGCCATGCCTGAATCCTGATTTCGCGTTTGCCGGCACCAGGATTAGGTGCATCGGTTAGTGCTGAAAATTTTGATTCTTATTGGCTCGCCACTCGTTAGGTCTCGGTGAATTTAACCGAAGGTTACAAACTTGCACGTCGTATGAATCGAGAATCCAAGCAAACTGGCTCCAATTTTACGAAAGTAATCGTGATTATGTACAGGAATAATAAGCCAATGCTCCGTTGTGTTGATATTAATTTTACCCAATTAATAACTAGGTCTTGTGAATGCACAAAATGTTCCTTCGCGTATATTTTACCACTATTAATAAATGACTGTTCTACCAATCAATTTGATCCGGAATTTACTGTAATCCGTTCATTCACACACATAAAATTGCAGGTAACTCCCAATTTGTCATAAATCCGAATTTGTTTAAAGGTTTATCTACGACATACCGAAATTTAGGAGTTCTCGCTACTTAAAATGTTTTTACCCGAAGTTAAACTGCTGATTGTTTACTACTATTCGGATACTTTTCACTCACTAATTGTATGTTCCGGTATAACGTGAGGTTTAGGTTGGCGCTGCTTTAATTCAAACCCGACGCATAAACAGCCAACTAGCTCAGGGTTAGAAAGTAAAATAAAAGTTTGAAATCTTCCGTAGCGGTAGTTTGTTTTGGGTATTCAATCTTCTATACTTTGTCATAACTTACCAATGGGGTTGAGCACCACTCAATTTTTATCTTAATTCTTCCCATATAATCCAGGCGTCGGAGGTTTTTAAGACACACCAATTCCTATTGAAACTTTTTCTTTCTATGCCTTCTTATAGGTCTAAAGACACAGATATTGAAAATGCACACCTGAAATCGGTCGGCAACGTATTGTTTAAACAAGTAAAAAGTAGGATTTTCACGTTTTTTTTTTAAATTTTTATTTATTTACAATTAATTAACAATACATTTATAACACCCAAATATTGTTTATAACTCACATTAACGCAATGTATAACAGTGGAAACTATTCATTACTTCGGTGTTGAAATTGGAATTTTCCTGAAACGCAATTCGATTTACTTAAGTAGCCAACTCGAGTGCTCCCGAATGGTCTTGAACATTCTAGAACAAAACACGTCACATTTCCCAGAAAGATTACATCACATCCGCCTTTGTTCTTTATCGCCGATTACTAATTTTTCATGGCGCGTGGATATCTATCGGGATTTCTGGAATATTCGCTACATAATTTCTTACTATATTAGGATATTTTTCAATTTATGTTATATCGTGATCGTTTGATCTTAAAAATAGAAAACGCCGTCGGTATCTTACATCCGTGATTCGGCAGCCATTAAATTTCAGTAATTTTGCGCCCCTTGTGTGCCCCGTAAGCGGAGGGTTACCCCGCTTATGCCTAAAGCTGGCCCTGGTAAAATGCAACCAAGTCCCATTGACAGTTTTGTACTAAAATCATTAGTCGGCGATTCAGATTAAAACCAAGAAATTAGTATATAATTTAATCGTAGACAACTAAATAACAATTGCGTTTAATGGTAATACGAAGTAATTGTTTTAAATTTGATAATACGCCCTGGCTTTAATTCTATTAGCACTATTACCTACTTCTTTAATCTATTTAAATTTGCAAAATTGTTTTCTCTTAAGGAGAGCTTGAAGCTTTTATAGTGTACAAAGTTGCATAGTGAATTGACGAATATTGTACGAGGGGACATTTTTATGTAATCTACCCATAAATAGATGCGAAAGAAAAGGAATTTAAGACAAAACAAATTTTAGTTTCCACATATGTACATTCAATATCTACTCACTTACCTTTTCTACAATAAGCAGATAGGTACTTATAAATTAACATTCTTTTAAGTAGCTCTTGTAAAAAATCACCAGCATCAACTTTTGGATCATCATCAGAAGCTAGAGAGCGGATGAATTACCTTTGTGTTTTTTTAAAGTCTTATGCATCCTGCTAGTGTAGGGGCACCTCTAAAAAGTAATATGCGGGCCACTTTGTAATAGCACGCAAGTCTATTGAGGGCCCAGAACAAGAGAGGGATAATAAATAAATAAATGAGTAATATTTGTTTGGTGGAATGTTCTTGAAACTTAGAAATTTTTCTTCCGCATAATTCAGCGGGAAAATTTTCAAAAATTGAAAGCAAATAAATGCTCTCGTTACAACTGGTTCTCCTACATTTTGTAGGGATCTTACTTCAGTTAGAAACCTACCGTGAAAGTTTCTTAAACACTGTTGTCTTTAGAAATTCGTTGTAATTGAATGATTGATTACAATTGACTATTGATTAGCGTTGGCCAAAAAAATCGATTAATCGATTATAATCAAATGATAATCGATAATCTATTCTTTTAAATTAATCGATTATTTGATTAATCGATTGTTTGATTAATAGATTGTTTGAGTAATCGATAATTTGATTAATCAAGTACTTGATTAATAGATTATTTGAAATCTTATCGATTATTCAAACCTGTAATCGCTCACCTCTTATCGTCAGAATGTGTTTTTAGCAAAGAGTACTCTTTGTTTTTAGTAAGGGCGCGGAGGCTCTATTGTAACTGATAATAGGGCTGGCCTTACTTCAGATCATGCAGAACAATTAATTTTTATCGCATGTAATTCATTTTACGTTACATAAATTGCCTAATAATAAGTGTATATGTTATTCAATGAACAATATATTTCTATGGTATAAACAAAATGAGCTTTTTATTTTACCAAATCGTAGTCGTAAGACAAGAATGCCAAGACGAATGCAATAAGTGCATAATTGTGGGTATTACATATAAGAAAAACTAAAAAAAATTAACTAAAACAAATAAAAAGTCATCATCATTATAAACAGTGACAGATGTAGACAATTTACTGTTTAGTCACAATGAATAAATAAAAAATTATTTAAAGCACTAGAAGTGTATTGAACTCAAGGTACACACTACGCAAACTAACTTAAGTTTCGACAAATAAATCAAACTTTCAAGTAATTTCATTAATACCTATTCATCAAAACTAACCCACACCTAAACGTAAAGTAAGCTGCCTAATGATTTACTGTTAGGTGATTATTGATTAATCGATTTGCCTATTTGGACTATTTGATGAAGAGAATTATTAGGTAATGAACGTATTAAAGAGAACAAACAGATATTTCATTACTCCTTGTATGTGACAATTAATCATACGGTTAATCTTAATCGCTTATTTGGCAATAGAATATTTGATTAATCGATTATTTAATTAACCGATCATTTGATTAATCAATTTTTTGATTAATCAAGTGCTTGATTAATCGATTATTTGAATAATCCATTAATTAAAAATAATCGATTATTCAAACCTGTAATCGCCCACCCCCTACTATTGATAATTACGCTTTTATTGTCGTATCGCTTTTTAATTTGATCCTAAGCAACATTCTAATTTCCCTTGCAAACAAGATCTTAGATAATGTAACTTTTGAACGTTGATAGCTAATTAATGGGTCTAATTAATGGGCTTATTAATGATCTAATTGATGGGTCACAGAGGAAATTTTAGAACTAATGCACGAAAGGAGAATATATATAAAAACGCATCCATGTTAGGGATAAATATAAAAAATTAAAAAACAAGGTAGATAGGGATTGTATAGGTTAGCAAAAGAACAGTGGCTAGAGGGGAAATGCGAAGCAATAGAGGCCTAGTTCAATAGGTAGGACGGACGTAGGATATAGGAAATTTATAGAGTAGTAAGGCAAGGCCAAAGTCCGACGTTCTGCAAGGCGCAGACGGAGAAGACCTCATAGAACCTAGGGACAGAGCAGAGAGATGGAAAGAGTACGTTGAACAATTATATAGGCGACAGAACCGCTAGCAGCATTAGAGCAATCAAACATTATACAGGAAGAACTAGGGTTTAGCATACTTAGGTCAGATTTCGACAAAGCCATAAAGGACCTTAAAGTAGGAAAAGCAACAGAAGCAGATGCAGTATCAGCAGAATTAATAAAATACTCAGGAACAAAGGTGCAGGATAGACTCTTTAAACTAACAAAATAGGATATACGACACAGGGCAGATGCCGAGTGACTGTAACAAAAAGTAGGCTGATTATTATGATCCCGAAGAAAGCAGGCTCAGAAAAATAACATTTCAGGACAATTAGCTTACTGGCGCACGCATAAATAATACTAGCTAAAATATTTTATAGGAGAATAGAGGAGAAGATCGATGGGGGGTTGGTGGATGGCCAGTTCGGGTTTAGGAAAAATAGTGGCGCGCGCGAAGCTATATTAACGCTTAAGACAATTGTAGAGGAGAGCTTAAGAGTAGGAAAAACAACTTAGATCTGGCGGTCATAGGTGCTAATGAATTTAAATATTGTTACTTTGGCTTCACAGAAAATAAACTCTTGCGCTTCTTAAACTATTACCGGTACCGTACTAATTGACAATATCAACGTTTTCATCAGTTGAATACATCATACCCGAACGAGAATAAAATACGGAATCCAAAACTACAATATTCAAATTAATTAATATGACAGCCAGATATTTATTTGTTTTGAGAAGTTATTGTGGTTGCATAAAGTTAGGCACCCTTCAGAAGAGATTTTG